ACACACACACACACACACACACACACACACACTCACACCACACACACACCAAGCACTCCAGTGAGAGCATGGGCTTCTGGTTGTTCTGCAACCACAGGGAAAAGACTGCAGACTGGGAACTTCACAGATTGAAGCTGAAAGAGACTAAAGTGAGGCTTCCCAGTGTGGGGTTGTTACATGCTGCACTTCCGTGTTACAGGTGAAGTGTCCCTAACTAAAAAATTCAAGCCCTACAACCTGGAACTTTGGTATGGTGACTGACATGTCAAATGGAAAATTACATGCCTTTCCTCTTATGATAGTCAAAATGCAGGCATGGGGGCTGGAGAGATGGCTCGGCAGTTAAGAGCATTCACTGCTCTTCTGGAGGACCCAGGTTCAGTTCCCATCATTCACTGCCAGCTCACAACCATCTATAACTCCAGTTCTAGGGGATCTGATGCCCTCTTCTAGCCTTTGAAGGTCTCAGGCATGCCAGCACATGATGCACAGTTACACGCAGTAAAACACCCATACACATAAAATAAATAGCCGGGCGTTGGTGGTGCACGCCTTTAATCCCAGCACTCGAGAGGCAGAGGCAGGCAGATCTTTGTGAGTTCGAGGTCAGCCTGGTCTCCAGAGAGTGCCAGGATAGGCTCCAAAGCTACACAGAGAAACCCTGTCTCAAAAAACCAAAAATAAATAAATAAATAAATAAAATATCTTTAAAATTCAGGTACACTAGAAATACCACCTTTGGGCTATGTGTATGTAGGCTTATATGAAACTTAAACAGATTTTCTGTTTAGGCTGTAGTGCTGGCCCAAAGGTATCGAATTATAAATATGCAAGTACCCCCAAATCTAAGAAACACTACATCCAGAACCCTCCCAGTCTTGAGCATTTGGGTGAAGGACACCCAACCTCTGTTTCCTTTTGGTCCAGCTGCCATGCTGTTTTGTTTTGTTTTGTTTTCTTGCATGCTGTTTTGTGAGGCAAACAGTGGAGAGGAGGCCCAGATGAAGATGGATCATTTGCAGAACCTCCTGATACAGAGGCAGAGCCCACACAGAGAGGCCTTCTTCTCCGCTCCCTATGGCCAGCTCAGAAAGCCCCTTCCACGTTGTCTCTCCCACTAGGCCTGGGGAGCTGGGGAAGGGGCCTGCAGCTGAAGGGATGGAAGGGAATAGGAGAGGGCACACCCTGCAATGCAGGCAGAGCCTTACACTGTAGTTAACCCTACAGACAGCTTTTTAAAAAGCTGCCTAAACATTGGCTCCCCAATAATGACACAGAGAATTATTAATTACGAAAGCTTGGCCGATAACTTAGGCTTATTCCTAACTAGCTCTTATAACTTAAATTAACCCATATCTTTTAATCTACATTCTTTTATGTGGCTTGGTTACCTTTCCTCTATATTGGTCTTGCTGCTTCCTCCATGTCTCCTGGTGTCTCTACCCTTCTTCTTCCCAGCATCCCCTATGCCTGGAAATCCTGCCTAGCTTTTGGCCATTCAGCTTTTTATTAAACCAGTTATAGTGACACACAGTGTAAAGGGATATTCCACAACATCTGCCTTTTCCTCTCCAGTCCATGTGTCCTTCCTAAGCTTTGCACTGTTGAAGACAGTCTTCTCTAACAAAGGCTCACCTTGCTGTCAAGGACACAGAGTATTGTGCTTTCCCCCTGGAGCCTCTGAACAAGCCTTCAAGGTCCAAACCCTCACCTCAAATGAAGAACTGGTGTGGGGCACTGTGCCATCAATACCTCACACTCAGGGACAGTTCCTTTTTTGTTAGTCCTCTGTCCATCTGTCTATCCATCCACATTGTCTTTTTTATTAAAGCTAAAAAAAAAAAAAAAAGAAAAGAAAAGAAAATGGAAATGTGAAAAGCAAAAGGTAAGCTTTAGGACTAGAGTGTGCCTGAGGGATAGCTAAGTGGTAGAGCATTTACCTAGCATAGGGGAAGGAAGGCCCTGAGTTTGGTAGCCAGCACCACAAAAACCCATCTATCCACCTACCCATCCATCTATCCATCCGCCCATTTGTATGTACATGCATACACTGTTGTACCACATTTAACTTTCAGAAGCTCCACTTAAAACTTTTTTTCCATGCCTGGGTACCTGACTCATGTTTCTTTTTGACATAAAAAGTTAATATCCAAAATAGAAATTAGATGACAAATTGCCCCAAAGAACCTATTTACATTGACAGGCATATGATTGTTTGACTACTCTCCCAAATAGCTGATTTCCATATCATTTTGGGAGTTCATAGTTTTTCTTTTCTGAAAAGGGATTAAGAAGGTCTTTTAAAAAATTACTTTATTTATGATGTACGTGTGTGTGTGTGTGTGTGTGTGTGTGTGTGTGTGTGTGTGTGTGTGTGTTTTAAGTACAGGCATAAGTGTGACAGTCAGAGGACAATATTGAGAATCTGGTTTTCTCATTCAACTGGGGGTTCCAGGGATTAAACTCACATTGTCAGGGTTGCATGCGAGCCCTTTTTTCTCACTGGGCCAGAATTTAAGATACGCTTTCTCTTTTAAAAAAGAAAAAAGTTGTTTTTTTTTCATTTATGTATATGCATGTTTGTCTATGTGTGTGTATATGGACTGAGTATGTGGGTGCCCCTGGAGGCTGGAAAAGGGCATCAGCTCCTTTGGGGTTTGAGTTACATGGGGTTTGAACTATCCGGTATGGATGCTGGGAACTGAGCTCGGGTCCACTGAAGAGATCAGCAAGTATTCTTACATTTTTGGTTGTGAGTCTAGCCTTTAATGTCTGAGCTATCCCTCCAGCCCTCAGCAAGCATTCTTAACTGCTGAGCCATCTCTCCTGCCCTCTAATAACCACAACCCAAGTCCCCTTTTGTGATAAAACCTAGCAAATACAGGTTTTACTTAAATGACTCAGAGAAACTCAATGAAGAAGAAATCAGCTTTTATTTAGGGCTTTGTCAAGAGTTCTCTTCTGTTTCCCACGAGGTCCAGCCCTTTGCATTCTCAGCATCAAGGGCAGGCAGTGAACACTGCAGTGAGAGCGGTGTGGGTGACCAGGGTAGGGTGCCTCTGGTGGTGGGGTCCACTCTGCTGCTGGTGTGGCTCTGCCTCCTTCCATGCTCCCACAGTCACATTCTAGGACCTGCCCTGCTTGGCTGGCAGAGGGGAGACCTGACTGTTGGAATTTCCCACTTGCTCCTTCCTTGATGGTTTTGTAACCCACATCCTCATGTGATCACGGACTGCTGGCCAACCTGCATCTATCTATGGGTTAGACTCAGATTCTCTGTAGCACTGAGGAAACCTCAAGCCCTGGAAGTGACTGCAATTCATAACCAACCAATTTGAATACAGAGGCCAATGTAAAATGCTTTCCCCTTCAGTTTATATGTCCAGAAAGTTTTCTTTGTTTTAAACTGCAAAGTAGGACTCCATCTGCTTCTTACAGCAAGTGTATTTCTAAGGTATGACTACTATGGAGCCAAAGCTTAGAGATGCCCAGGCAATCCCTGTGCGTTTGTATGGTCAAGATTCAGTCAGGTGCTAACATGTCAGTTTTTATAGTAATCTCCAGGAGTGGTGATTTCATTTTATGATATAGAATAAGTCCAAATAAATGGACAAAACATGGATCTACAAAGGCCAGACTTCAGCCAAAACATGCCTTAGATGACCAGAGTCTAGAGGACAAAGTTCATAATCAATGATGAAGAGATGATTTCGTCAAGTCTCACAATGCCGTCTCGCAGCCTTCACCAGTTGCTGGTTTTTATTCTTGTGAAAGTGACCTTACTTCTGGCTTCTGTCCCCTTCGATCCAGTACTGCTCAGTTTGCATCTCTGTGAGGCGGGAAATTGTGCGTTGAAATGCGAAGATTTCCTCCTCTCCAGTGAACATGGAGAGCCCTGCAGAGTCCTGAGGGGAAGCAGACAAAACAAGCAAACCCAGAGAAAACTGGTTACTCAAAAGGAAGACGTGTGGACCAAATCCGGGCTGAAAATGCCTTCAGGCTTCTCTACTTAGATAATATATTTTTCCTCCGCCCCTCCCCCCGCCCCGCCCCAATACAATCTCTTACATGGACTAAAGTGTTAGCTGATCTAAACTAATAGGTAATCAACAGAACCAGGAAGGAAAAGAGAAGAAAGAAAAATATCAGATCAAAGCTGGAACAGAAACCAAAAGGTTTTGCTCAGAAGGAGGTTCTCTGCAAACTATGAGAACAAGCTGGAAAGAACTCTCTCTCCAAAAGTAGCTAATGGCAAAAATGATAGTTTTGTTAGACATGGTGAATTATCCTACAATCACAGAACTCCACAGGTGAAGACAGGAAGGTTGCAAGTTCAAAACAACAACCCCAAAATGAAATCCCACAAGTTCTAGTAAAGTAGGAAGGCCCAGGGACAGGTCCAAAAGAGCCTTTTGCAGACTGAATGGCTGAAAGGTCCTATGGGCCCAGCCTGCCTGAAGAACTTTGCAAAGACTAGAGCTGCTTTTGGTTCTTAGCTATGGAAATATTGGTCCCCTTGCTGAAGGGTATATTGGGGACCCCTCCCGCAGTGAAACCAGTCAACACTCTGGGACGCAGGAAACCAACATGGGCTAGTGGTCATGAGGGTTTTTCTTTCCCTCCTTAGGGGTTTGCTCTTAAGTTCTTTCACAGAAAAATTGAACACTTCTAAGCCCATCTTCCCCAAACCCATCTTCCCCAAACCCATCTTCCCCAAGTCCATCTTCCCCACCAAGTCACTGTGACTTTAGGACCCTGAGGTCACTTTCCCTGATTTCTCCATATTGGGCCTCAAGTCTGAAGCCTGACTCTTCCATACAATTTTAATGCCTATGATGAGAAACTAACTTGACTGACTAGCTCCTCAGGTGCATTGACTACATAGGTGTTGCTCTTTGTTTGTTTGTTTGTTTGTTTTTCGAGACAGTATTTCTCTGTGGCTTTGGAGGCTGTCCTGGAACTCGCTCTTGTAGACCAGGCTGGTCTCGAACTCAGAGATCCACCTGCCTCTGTCTCCCGAGTGCTGGGACTAAAGGCATGCCCCACCATTGCCCACCTTAGGTATTGCTTTTTGACAGCCAACAGTACTGTGGCTATGGATTTTTTTTTTTTTTTCACCTGGGACTTGCTATGTAGTCTACAGGACTCTTGTTTCTGCTGTGTGAAAATGTTTCTACACACTCAACAGAGCTTCTAAGACTAGACTCTCTAAATGTGCCAATATGGAGATGGAGTTGGTTAGAAAGTATTAACTCAATAGCTCCTTCTGCAAAAGGTAGCATGTATCAAACTGCAAACAACCAAACTGTTTCATAAGAAATGGATGTCATTATGTTACTGTCACCTACCTGGCTCAGCCCCAAGTCGTCCATCAGTATCCTGCTTTGCTCCAACTCACTGTCATGGTGCTGATGCAAGAATAAGCTTGAGATAGGAGTTGATGCACAGCAAATTATGCGCACCTGAACCAAGAAAGGAACACAGGGTGGCAAGAGTTTTACCTGCTCATCACATAATGAGCTTGGGTCTTTGCTTTTCAAACGTCTGTGTTTTTTCTTAGTAGTCTGTAGTTAGGCGATGGTTTGAAAACCTCATAGCACTTTTCAACACATTTCTGCACATATTAGACCATGCTGTGACACAAACAGCAGGGGCTACATACAGGGAAGCCAGGCCTGTGGTAGCCTCAGTTCAGATTCCTGGGTCCCCCTCCAGTGCTCTTGCCTTTACTGCTATGGTTTGGATGTCATCAGCTCCTCCAAAACATACGCTGGGAAATTCCCAGAGCAAGACTCCTAAGAGGTGGACCCTTTGGGGTTGTGATGGTTCCAGAAGATCTACCCAAACCCTTTTCTCTTTCTAAGATTTCGTTTCAATTATGTATCTCTGTATGTGGGTATGTACATGAGTGCCTGCAGAGTTCAGAAGAGGGTTTCGTTTCCCTCTGGAGCCGGAATTAGAGGCAGTTGTAAGTGCCCAACATGGGTTTGGGTTCTCTGGAAAAGCCATAGGCGCTATTTTTTTTTTTTTTTTTTTTTGAGACAGGGTTTCTCTGTGTAGCTTTGGAGCCTATGGAGCCTATCCTGGCACTCGCTCTGGAGACCAGACTGGCCTCGAACTCACAGAGTGCTGGGATTAAAGGCGTGCACCACCAACGCCCAGCGCCATAGGCTCTCTTAACCATGGAGTCATCTTTCCAGGCCCTCCAGACCTTTTTCTTTAGCAGCCTGCCAGGGCACTCTTCATAGAGCTTTCCACCAACGCCCTTTCATTATCTCAGTGTCTTGAGTGTGCAGACTTGACCACAGCTTGAAAATAGTTTATGCCTTTTATATATTTTATATCCACTCATTCAGAAACGAATCATACTTGTTCTTTGTCTTCCTTCCTTCCTTCCTTTCTTTCTTTCTTTCTTTCTTTCTTTCTTTCTTTCTTTCTTTCTTTCTTCCTTTGTTTTTTTCCAGGCAGATCTTGGGATGTAGCTCAGGCTGCTTCTTCCTCCCATGAACCAGGGTTATAAGCATAAACATGCCTAGCTCCAAAATATACCTCTCTGGATGTTTAAAGAACTCAGACTTGTTGTCAGCCTTTCAAACGTCATCATTCAAGTAAACACATTGATACTTTAAAACAACTAGCATTTCCATTTTATTTTAATAAATTCTTTCAATCACAAATGACACTTTTTTAATAACTTAAATGGAAATGTCCTATTTCACAAATCCTCATGAATACATTCTAGAATGATATCTGCTTAATGCTCTCAATTACCAAAATAAGATAATTCTGGCTAGACTTTAAAAGGGAAAAATAGAACTGTGTGGTTTAGTTAGAATAAATGTTGGGATGGGGGAGGTGGTTTGGGCATTCCCTCACACTGCCAGGGAAAGGGGTCTTCCCAGCTGAAACGTACTCCAATGCACTTCCACTATCTCCCCCGCCCCCAAAGCCTTTGCCTTGTAAAACAGGGATACCTTCCAGCCTCTTGGGTGGGTGGAGACCTGTCACGAGGACAGGGCCAAGCCTTGCATCAGTGAGCCTGGAGCCTCAGCTCCATCAGGTCAATGACCACTGTCCTGAGGCCCTGCACATGTGGCCTTTGCTGCATGCCTTCAGCAAGCTTTCCTGGGCCGCCTGGCTGGAGCCCACAGATTGCCTTTCATGCTTAGCACCCCTCCCCATCCCGGGCTGCCTCTCCGCCAACCCAGGCCACCCCTCCTGCCCTGTGCTGGGATCAGTCCTCCATTCCCTGACATTCTAAGCAGCACCTGGGGAACCTGTGAACACTGGCTTTGTCCTCATTTGTTAGGGTGGGGATAAGGTGGTTCTGGAATCCGGGTTTTAAGTGGCCCTGATGGCTCTGATGCAAGTAGACCACAGAGGACTTTCCCTGGACTGTTCTCAACTGTCCCTAGACCTCAAGGCTCACGGTCCTTTTTCCGTGTCCCAGTGGCCAACCTGAACTGGTAACTGAACACGGTTTCCTCAGACATGAGATTCAGTTGGTCAGACCCTGGACCCTAGGCTCCATGATGGCAACCACAGCGTCTCAATTTCCGCAGACTTTTGGCTTAACACCTTGCTCAGGAATTCGTAAATGAAACAGTAAACTCTCCTGTCTTCTCTTACATGCCTCCTTCCCTGAAAAGTTCCCTCAAGTTTTGAATTACCACTCTAATTCTGTGCAAAGACTAGGGAGGGAATTCTCCAGAAGTTAAAAAAAAAAGCTTACCCTATCTTTACTGTGGACATCTTCTTCTTAGAGGCATAGACTGTGAGTGGAGTGAGTGTGAGCGCACTGTCTGCCACACTGGGCTCTGGGTATTTCCTATAATCACTTCACCCTCACAAATACACAAGTATCATTAATACCCTTCACTTCTAGAGAAGGTCGCCGAAGCTCACAGGCCAAGCCAGGCTTCAGCCTGGCACCAGGTCTAACCCATAACCACCCCTTAACCATATTGCCTTCCGTGGGCAGGCAGGGGCTCTGCACTGCCTGCTAAGATACAGGGATCAAAAACACAGCAGCACGATGTGTCTGGCTAGTTAATTCCGGGATGGGGGTGGGGAGACCGCAGGAACATTTCAACAAGGCAAAGGGTCACCCGCCCATCATTCAGATGGCACATGCGCACTGAGCGTTCAGCCTGGTACACACAGCCCTACTTGTAGGATGATGGGACATTAACGTAGCAGCAGAGTGACTTTTGATGGGGCCTGACACTAGCTGCTGCTGTTTTTAATAGGAAGTACACGGCCTTCAGTGTGGGCCAAATGTGGTTTTAAGCACATTACATGGAACAACCTGTGTGGTCCTCACAATAGCCATTTGGGGGTAGATACTGTTGGTCCCTATTTACAGACGGGGAAACCGAGGCACAGCAGTAAAGGAATTGGAACAGCCAGGATTCTGATCCAGGACATCTGACTTCACGGTCCTGTGAAAATGGAATCCATCCTTACCTTGTAGTCATAGAAGTTATCAATGAGAGTTATGAATCGCCGAGCTTGAGTCCGCTTTGCAAGTGAAAATTGTGGAATGTTTCGTACAAATACTGTATCAAAATTCTTTGATAGTTCCAAATAGTCACTTGCTCCAAGTGGCTAGAATTAAAACAGAGAAAGGGGGTTGTGGTTTTCTTTGGACACATCTGACTTGAAAACTTGCCACAGAGTGATTTAGATGGTGACTTTGGGGTGGCTGGGCCCGATGGTGCAGTTGTTGAGGGTAGGGTTAAAGACTCAGCACATACATAATAAATGGCTACACGGAGCCCTTGCCGTTCCTCAACCTTCCGTGGCTGGAGTCACCATCTCCAGGCCTTTGCCTAACCCTGGCTGAACCACCACACTGTTCAGTCACTGAGGGGTTCCAGGCTTTCTGTGGGGAGTTTCCGCTCTAACCCCATGCTCTCCCAAGGGCCCCTGCTGTTGAGAAAAGCTGGCTGTGCCTGCTTTGACCCCTACTCATTAACTGGACATTGAGGCACATCGTATGGTCTTTCTGTTCCTCAGCTGTCCCAACTGGAAAATGGTCATTCATTTCTGCCTTACAGAATTATGGGCAAAAACACGTAGCACAGTGACTGGGGCACGCCTCAGAGTCGAAAACACTTTTTTTTTTTTTTTTTTTTAAATTTTTGGAGACAGAGTTTCTCTGTGTAGCCTTGGCTGCCCTGGAACTCACTCTGTAGACCAGGCTGGCCTCGAACTCACAGAGATCCGCCTACCTCTGCCTCCCAAGGGCTGGGATTAAAGGCATGCGCCATCAATGCCTGGCTTTGTTGTTGCTTTTGAGAAAAGGGTCAGTGTAGCCAAGGCTGGCTGGGAACTCACTATCTAGCTCAGGCTGCCTTGGAACTCATAGTAATTCTCCTGCCTCAGCCTCCAGAGTATGAAGTATGCATCAGTCTACCTGGCTTGGCCATTTTCATGATTACTATTTTGAGCTTAAGTGATTTGGCTGAGGCCAAGTGAGCAGAGTATGTAGAGACATGTCATTCCCAATGGGAACTAATTAACTTGCTCTACCCCTGCCTGCACCCCAAACCATAGGAAAGTGTACTGACTGGTTTTGTGTGTCAACTTGAGACAGTTATGATCATCAGAGAGGGAGGAGCCTCAGTTGAGGAAATGCCTCCATGAGATCCAGCTGTAAGGCATTTACTCAGTGGGGGAGGGCCCAGCCCATGGCGGGTGGTGCCATCCCTGGGCTGATGGTCCTGGGTTCTATAAGAAGGTGGGCTGAGCAAGCCAGGAGAAGCAAGCCAGTAAGCAGCACCCCTCCATGGACTCTGCATCAGCTCCTGCTTCCAGGTTCCTGCCCTGTGTGAGTTCCTGAGCTGACTTTGGTGAGGAACAGCAACCTGGAAGTATAAGCCGAATAAACCCCTTCCTCCCCAACTTGCTTTTTAGTCATGGTGTTGCAGCAATAGAAACCCTAACTCAGACAGGAAACCTTGTACATTTGCCTGACATTGGAATTACGGCAAGGAACCTTGGGAGACCATGCAATCACCACTGGGGGTTAGGGGGTGGCCACAAGGTACAAGGAAAGGACAAAGGGTGTTTTAGTATAAGAGAGAGTGGTACTCACAGCCCTATAGCTCCAAAGCTATGCTACTCTTTAGAATAAGTTAGAATTGTCTCATCGTAAATCAGAAAGCATATGTAAAAAGAAAATGTAAAACCTCATGCTTGGCATTGGTTCTTATAATTAGGCTGGCATTTTGTGCATGGATGTGATTTTTATCATCGCAAACACACGCCCAGGGAAAGCATTTTCAGAAGTGCACTGGAGGACTGAGGGCGACGGGAAATCAGAATTGTGCCCACTCAGCTGTTTCACAAATTACACACCTTTGTCAGTAGGTTCTGCATTTGCCATGATATTAGCTAGTGTCCCCCTCCCAAACATCAAGAAAACAATTATGTGCTCACTCACATCAAGAAAATAAGTGTGATATAGGATCTCTCTCTTTTACAAACAGCACTCACAGGGAATGTGAAGTTGCTCTTTAGTGTGAGCAGCCGGGGAAAGGACACAGAGGACAGCGCTGATGGCGGCACAACAATGGCTCCATGGTTACAATGGGAAAGCCGATGTTCTGTTTTATTTTACTACATTAAAAGCCCATGCTAGGCTATAGATAGAGAGCAGGATTTAATTTGTTTAGAAACACCAGAAAGCAAAATGAAATGCACTAATTACTGAAGACTTTTCCGAAGGAAGTAAGCTCCAATACCATGAATTTAAAATACAAAGTGGGAACTTCCGGGCTGGGGTGGAACTCAGTGGGTGGAGTGATTGCCACACATGCAAAAGCCCCAAGTTCCATCCCAGCACTGCATAAAAGCAGGCATGGTGACCCAGTATCACTGCTACTTAATAAACACCCATAGAGCTCACCAGGACCAAGTCAAGGTCATCTGGGACTACAAAGTAAGCTTGAGGTCAGCCTGGGATCCTGGAGACTGTTTCAAAACAACATGAAAACTGGCCAGGTATGGTGGCACTTGCCTTTAATCCCAGTACTCTGTGAATTCAAGGCCAGCCTGGTCTACAGAATGAGTTCCAGGACAGCCAGGGCTGTTTCAAAAACAAAAAAAGGAAACAAAGTGGGTTTTCTACTGGTAAGTATTTTTCATAGTGGCTTTGTTGTTCAAATGTCTACAAAGAAGCACCCATGAGAACACTCAGGACTGAACCTAGTGAGCTACATGGGTGCTTATTAATTACAAGTGGTAAGTTTCAATGGAGGATTTGGAGATGTTGGCAGTTTCTTGTAGTCACGTGACCTTGAGCAAGCTCTCTCTGAAGCTCAGTTTCCTCATCTGTGTAGGAGATTCTATCTAGCAGGCTTGTCCGGAAGAGTAACATCTTGACTGCAGAGTAAGTACTCAGGAAATGCTGGTGGCTGACAGAGGGCTACCTAGTGTGCCATAGCCAGTGCACAGCCATTGCTCAGGGACAAGTCAGTAGGGCTTTCCTCAGATCCTGAGGTCTGGTAGCCTCAGTGACTGAGTGAACAGCTGTGCTGGCCCCAACTGTCCACCAAGAAGAGACTTGCTCCCCTGGCTCTTTCCCCTCATAGTCTCTGCCCATGAAGTCACATGCAGGTGACAAACAGCCCTGTGTCAGACCCTGTCCTCCTTTCTTTGCTAAAATCATTAGCAACACCCAGTGGGAGACGAGCCCAGGCCCACACTGTGTTGGCCCTAACTCAGTACATAGGATGTAGGGAACGCTTCATGTTTATGAAATAAATCAATAAAGAGATAGAGACAGTGATAAAATGCACCCTTATCACCCCAACCAGGGGAGCAGGCCGGTTCTTTGTTTTAAAATCTTTGGTCTCCAAAGTAGCAGCACACAAAAATACACAAACACACAAATACACACACTCCCTCCCTCACTCACTCACTCACTCACTCTCTCACTCAGTCACACACACACACTCACTCACTCTCTCACACACTCACTCACACACTCACTCTCACACACTCACTCACACTCACACATTCACTCTCTCACACACTCACAATTCACTCTCTCACACACTCACTCTCTCACTCAGTCACACACACACACTCACTCACTCTCTCACACACTCACTCACACACTCACTCTCACACACTCACTCACACTCACACATTCACTCTCACTCAGTCACACATTCACACACTCTCTCACACACTCACTCGCTAGCTCACTCAGTCACACACTCACTCTCACACACTCACTCTCTCACACACTCACTCGCTAGCTCACTCAGTCACACTCTCACACACTCACTCAGTCACACTCTCACACACTCACTCAGTCACACACTCACTCACACACTCACTCACACATTCACTCTCTCACACACTCACTCTCTCACACACTCACTCTCTCACTCAGTCACACATTCACACACTCTCACACATTCACTCGCTAGCTCACTCAGTCACACACTCACTCTCTCACACACTCACTCACTCTCTCAGTCACACACTCACACACTCACTCTCTCACACATTCACTCTCTCACACACTCAGTCACACACTCACTCAGTCACACTCACTTACACACTCAGTCACACACTCAGTCACACACTCACTCAGTCACACACTCACACACTCTCTCACATACTCACTCACTCAGTCACACACTCATTCTCTCACACACTCACTTAGTCACACTCACTCACACACTCACTCTCTCACACACTCACACATTCACTCTCTCACACACTCACTCTCTCACACACTCACACATTCACTCTCTCACACACTCACTCTCTCACTCAGTCACACACTCTCTCACTCAGTCACACACTCTCTCACACACTCTCACACACTCACTCAGTCACATACACTCTCACTCAGTCACACACTCATACACTCTCACACACTCACTCAGTCACACACTCACTCATCACATACTCTCACACACTCACTCTCTTACACACTCACTCACTCTCTCACTCAGTCACACATTCACAAGCTCTCTTGGCCCCGTTCTCTGTTCTAAAGCAAGCCTTTACTGTGTATCCTAGCACACATAGGCAAAGACACAAAGATTAAGACCAACATGTCAAAAGTGGTTGTCTTTGCGTAGGAGAATGAAATATCAGTTTTACTTCTTTGTTACCCTTTAAGTCCCCAGTCCCCATGAACTTGTATGAAAAGCACCCTGTTCTTAAGAAGTGGAGACAATTTTTCTGATGGGCATTCATGTCTCTCCCCATCTAGGTCATATTTTCACCTTTTTCTCTCATTTTTCATTTTCTTTTCTCCTTTCCCATGTTAATGTTAAGTTTTCTTAATCAATCAATACAAAGTTTTTCTCAAGGACATCTAAAAGGAAAAGTATATCCCAACTCCCAAATTATTAAATACATTATTTCACCTTAGAGTAGGAAAACTATAAAATGGAATTTCTAAATTATTACCTATATAAATATATCATTTTAACAGTCATGTTTGCTAGCATAATTATGAATTGAACAAACTCTACATTCATTGTTCAAATAATGAATGCATTTTCATTGTTTTATTTAAGAGCCTATCTCATTCTTTTTGTCTACCCCTATAATTAAAGTCATGGTCAAAGCCAGGA